GGGGGGGCGGGGAAGGAAGACATTAAAGGGAAAGGCATAATGGACAGGCAGCGACGGAGGAGCTGAGTGCATTTGGCATCGCAGTAGCGTGAACGATAAGTATAAACAAAAACGCCTACTTAAATTAACTCAGTAACCTGACAAGGCTCAAAGAAAGACGGACACCGTTATGGTGGATATGGCCACCAACTTCTGTCGCTTCACTCGTCAGATCCGAAAAATGCAGAATAATTTATGGTAAACAGGTTTGATTCGATGAGCGATCTCCATGCATCGATTATTTGACATATGTAATCTCTGATTCTTAAAACGACTGGACTTAAATTACACTTACAAGGTTGTCCGTATGGATATGAACTTTGTCTTCTTTACAACAAGAACCTGGGGCACGCACATGTGCCTCTATTCGTGAGTCTGCCTACGGTTTCTTGCACAAAATCTGCTTGATCTTGGAGAAGTACACATATGTGCGGTCAGGAGATACCGTGCTTACCATGAGTGGAAAGAGGATGGAGATCTCCTTGATCGACTTGATGACCCACAGGAGCGCCAGACACAACACTTGGATCATAGTGAAGAGGTGCACGCGCCAAAGTCGAACATGACTAAAAGGAGGGAAGCGATGATCATCAAGGGTAAATACGCTAGGGGGGGAGATGGCAAGGCATAGGACTAGAGGTGATGCAGACCTTAATGTCAGACCCTTGAATAAGCCTTGTGTGAGAAGAAGACAGGCTATTGGATGGCGTAGAAATTAAGAATGGCACTGCTTTGTTTTGAAACTTTGTCCACGTCTCACTTGGGGAACCACCATCTAATACAGAAGGTTGATCGAGCACCGGGACAATTTGTTTATTATCCTGAGCTTTCAAACTCTTACAGGAGTTGATCATCAAACGTAAGAAGAGCAACAAAAAAGAGGGGACAATTATAGAGGGCATAAACCAACCAGTGACGCGCCTCTGAAGGTGAGTACACAAGGCTCTGTACACCGGCGCCAAATCGACACATCAACTGATTGAATTCCCATCCGTGGGGACCAGGCTTCAACCAATTTTCGGCTCTTCTTGTTACGGACCGAGGCGAGTATCTTGACGGCTGCGAATTTGAACTCATGGCCCATTTCATCTGCGTGAGCAGCAACTTGCGATAGTTCGTCACCCGTCGTACAGCCACAGCTTGAAAGTTCAGGACAACAAACAAACTGCTTCGGTGCTCGACCTGCCTTCTCCTTTACTCATGCAAACATCTGGAACGCGAGCCTTCATATGCATTCGTACCCTAAGAAAAAAAACTATTTCCCTTCGGAGTATACTGCTTGGGTTGTCCGCATTCCAATAGGCGCGTACAGAGTTGCTGGCCATTAAATATGAACCAAAATGCTTAAGGGTGATTCAGTTTAGAAAGTATTACAGGTTATCGTGCGCGGCAGCATGGCGACTTTATCTCCGACTGCCTGTAAAAGCTAACTCAGTAAAAATGACTACTTAAATAGTATGCCTGCTTTTGTATATTAGTATTTAATACCCCCATAGACTTAAATAAATGCTTCTGCGCCCGATCCCGCCTCCGGTCTTCTTGACATTGAAAGCAGGTGGGTGGGGTAGGGGAGAGTGCAGTAGATACCACGCAAATCTACTATCATTTAAAACAAGCAAGTCATGACCAGTGTATATCGAAGGGCTTCTTTTGCAGCATAATCACTGCCACGAACAGTATAAGCGGAGCATATCACCCCGAAAGAAAAAAAGTACAGGCTCCATCTGTTCTGAACTTCGGCTTCAGAACCCCGAGTAAACACAGGGTGGACACGCTTCAGTTAAGCAGTTCGCCTCCTGCACAGTGCTCTTACGTAGTCACTGTAAGGATCCCTCCACCACCATTATGTCCCCTCCCCCTCTCCTTTAACTGCATCAAGGGATTTCGTGTGGAAAAAGAGAGGTTGTTTTCTGCAAGTCAGTTCACCCGGGACTTACCTCAGGTAAGGATAGTCCGGTTGGTACTTGCCAGGCATAAATATGAGCAAAAAGCGTTGGATAATCTGTAGACCATTCAACGAAGTTATTCCCATCAACAGGAAGACGCCATAGAGGACGGCCATCGGAATAAGCTAGAGGACAATAAAAAACAGAAGGTTTGAGTTGCAGCCAAAAGACACAGAGATGGATTTAGAGGTACGGTCAACGCCGAAAAAAAAAGAAGCAATTGGCGCAACGGAACATTAAAAAACCGCATTTTGGCTAAATACGCTTTAGGAGAAATGGTGTTGAGCTTGCACCCGGAGGCCGGTTGACTGATGTTGACTATGTCGACAATATCACCTTACTAACTTCAAAATTTGGGGATCCGCAGTCTACGGTGTCACGGATGAATGGGGCCGCTAAATCGATCGGCTTATACACAAACGCACTGGGATGGCCAACATATCTTCATGCTGCATACCTGCCCAAGAGGAGGCACGTTTCGAGATTGATGGCTGTCAACTTGAAGTAGACAATTTCAGATAACTCAGGGCGAGGTTGCTGTCGAATGGACAGCGTAAGGACGACGTTGTCTCCCGAGTCGATGCTGATCGCCGGGTTTTCTCAATCCTCCGAAAGTGCCTATGGATCCAACGCGACAACTCCATCGCCATGGAGGTTCGCGTGTGCCGTACATCTGTTTGGTCTGCTCTCCTCTATGGTTATGAATGCTGGGCTATGCGCGTGGAAGAAAAAAGAAAACAAGAGGCACTTGACCACTACTGCTTGAGGACCGTCCTTCGAGTAAAGTACACTGACTTTGTCTCAAATGAGACAGTCCCCACTCGCTGGGACATCCCAGGTTAGACTGAGGTGGTTTGAACACGTTCTTCGTCGTCAACCTCACAAGCTCAGGGTTACTGCTCTCGATCCATCACCATTACCAAATTGGCGACTTTGAAGTGGAACCAGCTCAAAATCTGGCTCAACTC